GTCTAATTAGTTAAAACCTACTTGTTAAAATATATTTACTATAGTAGTAGTATTAGTAAGTATAGTTACTCTATACAGTTACTAGGTATATTATAATACACACAACCTCATAATTGCAAAATCATGACATTAGTGAATCAATTATTTAGTTAACTTTTCTTCTAATAATAAAAAAAACTCTAAATAAAAACTATTATTCCTACAAATATTAGAGTAGTCTCCCTTGACAGTTTCTATTCGAATGTATTTTGTGTTAATTTTCGTTATGAAATACAGTTGACTTTTTAAATAAATTATATAAGAAAACAATCTATCTCTGTGTAAATTTATTTAAAAAAAATATTATTACAATAATTAGAATAGGTGTTACTGGTTAAATAGCAATTATTCTCATTCTAAATCTTTGGCTATCGAGTTTCATGGGTTTTTAAATTTAAGATTATGATCACATTGGCTTGACGAAAATGATTATATACAATTAAATACATACTAAAATTTACTTTTGTTAATAAACCTACACTATTTTATGCACACATACAAAAAAGAATATTTTAGCGGCAGTTACAACGTCAAAAAAAAAAAAAAAAAAAAAAGGAAACGCCTTTATACTGAATAGTTCTACGTAACAACAAAAATGTAAAAATACATAATCCTAGAGCACACTAACACATACATATATACATACGAAGATATGTGTGTGTGTAAGTAGGATGTGAGGTGTGTAGACAGTCGGGGTGGAAGGAAAGCAGTTTGGCAGGAATAACGGTAGGTAGGAAAGTAGGTTGGTAGGCAGGCAGCAGCGCAGGCAGGTTAGTAGATAGGTAGGTACGTAGGCAGGGAGTTAGGTATGTAGGTAGGTGGGCGTAGGTAGGAAGGCGCCTCACTCGGTATAGTGAGCGATTATAGTAGCCCATCATATTCATAGCGTTTCGCAATTATTAAAACGAACAAAGGTACCATAGTACTCACGGGAAAACCCGGGGAGCTAAATGGAACCCTGCCAGGGCGCCACCAAATCGAATTTTTTTTTCGTAGAAACCACCACAGGGGTATTAGCATTAACTTCTCAAATTTGAATGACAAACGAATGAAATCTTTGGTAATGCTTAAACAAACAAACCCACATATTCGTTCTTGGGGCGCGGGTTTGTCCACACTGCCGCCTAGACGCACCAAGGCTCACTGTATGAAAGCCTTGAGTGTACGTTAATCAACCTCTGTAATAGTGAGGTAGAACACACATTGGCGACCGCCCATGTGTTAGAGACGCGTCCCTTCGCGCTCCAGGGAGCCACTGGTTATATTTCCGCAGGGGCGCCCCTAATTCGGTTTAATTATAAAATGTCGTGTGCCACCGTGTCCCTATTGTAGGGTGCTCTTTAAAGAGGCACTCTCTGTAGAGCCCGGGGCGCTCGCTGTCGCCAACTGCCAGGGCGCCGGCGGGCGCTCATTATTCTACTTAGTGAACATTTATAGTAGCCCATCTAAACCGTAGTGTCGCCCGAGGTGGGTCTTGGCCGCTCTGGGCCACTCAACCGCCGGGGAGCTGGCGGATGAACCTGGTGTAGTTTTATCACTGAATCTCAGAGGCGTAGCACCATTCCTGGCGCCTGGGGACAAATTTTCAATTTGGCGCCCCCCCTCCCGCCGGAGACAAACTTTCAATTTGGCGGCCCCCCCCCCCGTATTTTTTAAATATTTATAATGCAAAACTATAGCTAAAATGAGCTTTTAAATTTTTCCAACCATTTTGGCGCCCCTAGGGTTGGCGCCCGGGGACATATGTACCACCCGCCCCCCTCGCTGCGTCTCTGCTGAATCTAGTATTACCTATGACCGCAATTGATGAGATAGCCCCTCTGGATTCACCTCTGGATTCTGAGCTCATAATCGTATAATTAGAAAAATCGAACCCTCCCAGGGTGCCACACTTAAGAATTTTTTTTCTTTCTCGAAACCCTTTTCACCAACTACCCAAAATTTTAGGACTCTCGTACGAACAGTGTCAAATTGCATCTGGCTTTTATTTTTATGGAGAAAAATTGCATTGCTTCCTGTCAGAGACCCCAGATCGAATGGGGCGCCAAAAGGGGTAGACAATTTTTAAAAAACCCCCATCTTCAGTAAAATTTAAGAAAACAGATTTATACATGGCTGATATCCTCAATTATTTTATATAGGGGAGTGTATGTAGGGATGGGCGCCTTTTTGCCAGCGTTTGAATAGGGTTGGCACATAATTGATAGTTCGCCCCGGGCGCCGGAATAGGTTGCTACGCTTCTGCTTCCTGCTAGGGCGCCGCCCTGGCGAAATCTTTCCGGGGGGGGGGGGCGTGCGGACACTGTTAAAAGTATTTTTTTTCTATATAAATTCCGTTTCGTTCGGGGGTGGGGGGGGGGGGGTCGATAGACTTTCTTCGGGGGGTGGGGGGGGGGGGCTCTGATCCCCCCCCCCTCCGAATAGATTCCTGGAAAAAAACTCTGTTCACAAAGTTTTATGGCGATCCGATGAAAAAGATGTAGTAATTCATATAGGACAAACAGATAAACATACTTTCATTTCTATAAATATAAATAGATATATAGGGCATACTTTAACTAGTGTCCGCATACCCGCACCCGGAACCTTAGTCACAATTTTCTTTGTTACATTTGAACCCTTTAGGTTAATCAATATTAACAAAATTGAACAAGATGCAACAAATACAGTTAACCAAGAAATTGAACAAGTAAAAATCACGTTATCTTTTTCTTGTTTTTAGATATAGAGTAGTAACAGACTACCTACAGGTCCTAACTCGCGACGAGGTACACATTTGTATTAAAACACACATCTAAGACATTTTCCATTTAGGTGGGTTTTGCAGTATAGTGGTTTCTTAAGTCGTGGACAAGTGATTGCGCTTATCTATGTTGAGTAGCTATGTATTCTGTCCTATATTAGACACATTTGTAAATATCTGTCACAATACGGGCATAGAGATGAAATAACGATAGCTTATCTTTGCGGACGACGCTAAACTTTGGCATCGACACCACGGCCTACAAGTTCAAATTCAGTCCTTCAGAAATGTTTAAAACTACTTTTCTCTTTTATGTGCCTACTGACCACATCACATGTATTTGTTCTGAAAGTCTAAAAACAGAGGCACAAATATATCGTCTAGACTTGTGAGGTCTACAGATTAGGTATTTTGGCAGTTATCTAAGCCCTTGCCTGTTCTGACTCAAAGCCTTATTCTTTCTCTATCGACACCTTGCGTAACATGGGATTGGGTTTTTAAGGCGGCATAAAGCTTTATGTTGTTCCTTTTTGAGTACACTAGATTAAAAACTAACGTTTTCAGATGCCTAAAGATGTTTAACCACTAATTAATCAGAATAATGGGTCAAGATTTCAATTCTTGGTTTTGGGACACGTTAGTTGCCGGGGTTGAGCTAATGTCGATAGCATAAGGACTGTACCTTGATGCGGGCGTTTTATTTGTTGCCCATCGTAATAATTGAATGGTTGATGGGGCTTCTTCAAGGGTTTGATTTGCCGTAATGTTAATGATATCATGCACGTGAGGCTTTTCTAAGAAGAAATTGCGTTAAAACACTTTTTAGTTATGCTTTTTTTAAAATAGGCCTATATTTTACAACATAATCGTAATGAACAATAAAATGAATTGAAACAACTTTAGAATACACCTGTTTTGGCTAACATGAATGTTATTCTTCAAACTAGTAATGTTAAACGTGTCTTTTTCGCATTTTCGACTTATAAGCAATACAGTAAATTCCGATAACGTCCATATGCATACAAGCAATGGCGTAGGCGAGGAGGGGTTTAATAGTGATTTAATAATGATACTTTCTTAACCCTCTACTGGACATCATGTTTGGTACCTTGCCCCTGGCAACTGGGTGGATTTGGACTACACCTAAGTTTTACTTCATAGTAAATGGCTTCAGTTTTAATTATTGGAGTTGGTAGCAACATTGACACAGTTGAAGGTATTCAGAACAAGGTGGCCAGGAGAAATCACATTAATTAGTATAAAATTTACCATTACTAACAATAAGCCCTACTTAACTGTTTAATGTTGATAGATATTAAGCCTGGTATGTATTTATGTTTATTAATTTGTACAGAAACAAAAAAAGGATTCCCAAACAAAGTTTTATTTTTCAGAAATAAAGAAAATGATACAAATCAATAAAGAACAGTTTTCAAAAGAATTTGTATAAAAGTAATTATTATAAAATAGGAATATAGTATTGCATAGATACAAGTAAAATACTTGACACAAACAATATGAGGAATATTTTTTATCAGAGAAGAGAAAAATATATGACGTAGTTTGAAAATAATAATGTACAGAATGTAGCTTTTGCAGATTAAAATGAAAATTCTCATGCCTATATAATTTATTGAGTAAATGAAGCAAGGCCCAAAACACTAGGCTAAATAATATGCATGGGACAGGCACTGAAAACTACAAATTGCATATAGTGAAGGTTACCCTATTTATTGGCTATATCCACCACAGTAAAGATTTATGGCTTTATTACCTGCTTGTAAAATTGTTAAGGAAAAAGTGAAGTATTGTTAACTTTTTATGGCAGGCCAACTACGGGCTGTGTTCTGGGAACATGTCATCTGTAAGGGGCATTGTTCTCGGCACATGTTGTCAATTTTTGTGTTCTCGGCACATGTTGCCATTTTGTGTGTTCTGGGAACATAATGACATTTTGTGTGTTCTGGGCACATAATGACATTTTGTGTGTTCTGGGAACATGTTGCTATTTTGTGTGTTCTGAGAACATGTTAACATTATGTGGCTGTGTTCTGGGAACATGTTGCCATTTTGTGTGTTCTGGGAACATGTTAACATTTTGTGTGTTCTGGGAACATGTTGACATTATGTGGCTGTGTTTTGGGAACATGTTGACATTATGTGGCTGTGTTCTGGGAACATGTTGACATTATGTGGCTGTGTTCTGGGAACATGTTTGTTTCATTTTGAAATATTATAATAAAACATTTTTAGAAATTCTATATTAGGAATTGTGTATATATATAAATTTATATATTTAATAAGACAATTGGATGAATTATAATAAACAGCAAAAATGATTCAAATAAGTTTAGAAGTATTTGGCTTGCTGTCCTAACAGTGAACTGTATTGCGAGCTTGTTTCCCTAGTGATAACCCATGTTTTTTGTGCGACCCTTCCAATCAAGTATCCAGCTTTTTCTTGGCCTGTATCAAAATGCTGGTCATAGACTTGCTTGACTTGTGTATCACAATATGATTTTGAATGTTTTTCTGTAAATGAAATAAAGGCTAAATATTTTGATACTTTCTTTTGTGGAACTTGCAAGAAAAATAAATTACAAATTTATATTACTATCTCTAATATTTCTTTACTATAACTAATTACTTTGAAAAGATAAAGCACTGAACATGATGAATAACAAGAAACAAACATTATCAGCAAAGATTATAGATTTAAAATTGTGTTCATTCATATTGAAGATTAATGAAGTAGACTATCAATATTTACCCTCTTGATGGCTGATACTTTGATTTGATGTCTTTACTTTAAGCTTACACATCAGTCTCTGTGTGGTAAAATATGAAATAATATGCTTCAATAAAACTGTTTCAGTATATTAATTATATTAGATAAGTACATAGTTTTGAGCTCTATAACAATATATGTTTCAATTATCATTCAAATATAATACCCTCTATGTTGTACAACTCACTGATTTATTAGAATTTAAGAAAAGACAATAATTAATAAAATATTTTGGATTAAAATCCTTTATATTTATTATAACATACAATGCTATCTCTTGCTATAATAATTACTTTAAAAAATGGGTTATGCCTATAGTACAGTTACCTGAGGATGAAACTAGGCACAGTGTATAGTCCACGGAGACTGATTAATATCCCTTGTAATTGAACATCAGTTGTAGTTATGAAATCTGGATGGTCAAACACACACTCATAGTCCTGAAAAGCAATTTACACATAGATTAGCAAGAATATCTCACAAATTATTAAATTAAAGCTAACCCCTATTTAGTGCAATCCATCAAAGTAGTAGCATTTTTGTTAAGTTGTAGACACAATACAAAGTAATGTTTGTTCTGTGATTTACATACTTTTATAAAATAGCAATCAAATTATATATATATATATATATATATATATATATATATATATATATATATATATATATATATATATATATATATATTTATTTATTGTAAATTTTAGCTGTCTTGCTATTAAATTTATTTACTCGACTGATCTAAACTCACTTTATTTAAACATAATATAGTGGATAAGTATAGTGATTTTATTATTCAGCAATAAATAGCAGGCCTAAAAAAATTTAAATAGTAACGTTTGCGAATGAACACATTAAATTCTATGTATTTCCATTTCTATGTCTTTCCCAACTTGATGCATATTACTAACCAAGCATTAAACTATAGTCCTAAACCTGACTCTAATTACCATTTATTGGACAACCTGAACCTTTGCGATACCATGTTATAATATATTATTTTAAAAAAGAGCTTACCACTAATTACTAAAATCAATTGTTTTTAGTATTAACTGAGCCGCATACTATCTGCTGCTATTGTCATCACCAGAAATCCAGTATGTTGGCAAAGATTAGTTTCTAAGTTCCCTGCGGGTGTGGGGAAATTGCGAGACGCGAAAAGCGAAATGGCGAGGCGGGAAAATGCGAGAAGGGCGCGAAAACGGTCGGTCACGTGACTTTTTTGTCTCGCATTTTACCACAAGCCGATACTTACGCTGGGTGGTGTTGAAATGCGAAGATTTCTGCGAAAAATTTACCGCACCCGACTTTTAGTGGTATTTGGTCCAGATTTCAAAGACGTTTCGTTTACATTGTTAAAACTTCCGATTTTTCCGTCGCTAGACATACTGACGACTTAAAATACCACCTTGTTCGAAACCGACGGAAATACCGCCGACGATAGATCAACTTCTGTCTTTTGTGTGGAAAGGCGAGGCCGCCTGATTTACCGTCTTTGAAGATCGCCGTGCCCGGATCCGCTGCCGCCGCAAACATATTTTCTATTGTTGCATAGAAATTTTGTATTATAGCCGCCGCCTACGATTTTTTTCTAGCTCTTTTTTACCATATAAATTAAATCTAAGCACAAGGAAATGCCTACATCATTTGGATACAACAAAATAAAGTGACGTCACCGATATTATCAGTTGCTTGTGCTATATCGTAAGCTATGGGCCTACTTCAAATATTTTTAAAACCAAGTTGAACTTATCTGATTTTTTTGGTTTTGGTGGTGGTGTTATTTGGGGTCTTCCATAAATGACGTCACACTCGTAGGGGGGGGGGTCTGTACTTTTATGACGATGTGTGATGAGGGGGAGGAGGGGGGGTTAGATGTGAAGTCGCACTATAAAAAAGCAATGTTAGAAAAAGAATTTTAGACGTTTTTTCGCGTTTTAGAAAACTGTTTTAATACATTTTAATAGGAATTGATTAAAATACTCTATTTTGACCGAAATTAGACAAGATTTTGGGAAAATATCGATGTTTAAAAAAAAAAAACTCAACTGCTGGTGACAACAATGAGCAAGACATTGCCAAAATTACAGAAATGATAAAAATACAAATTATAAAAAACGGAAAACAGATGTTGAGCGTGCGGATGATGATGATGAGAACATGGGTGCCAGTGTTGTTTGTGGGATGAACGAGGAGGTCAACTGTGATGAGAATGTGAAATGTTGTGAATGTGGATTGGAAGAAGTAGCAAAAGAAAAATGTATAATTTTTATAATGTTTATTTTAAAACAAAAAAAAAATAATTTAAATAAATAAAGATGGAAAAAAAAAAACTTTTTTCGCAAAAGTGTCTCGCTATTTACCCTTAATTCCGCAGGTATGTCTCGCATTACCTTCTCGCATTTTCCCGCCTCGCCATTTCGCTTTTCGCGTCTCGCAATTTCCCCACACCCGTTCCCTGCAACCTCTTTCCTTTCGAGTGCGGAAAACACTGAAATCATTAATCATTATTTCATTATGCCTAATAGTTTAAAGGTAGTATTAAAGTAGTACTAAATAGTACGAGTCTTAGTTACTATAGGTCTAATGATAATTATTATTGTGTATGCTTACATGCTTTAAGTTTTATGCACATTATTGGTATATAATATATAGTCTATAGTATATAGCCTAAGCTATAGAGTATATACATATAGGCCTATGAGCCTAAATATAACAGCAGCTTGAATAATGCTCATTAGCATGCATTCACTATAAACTATAAAGATAAACAAATATTTCAATTTAATTTAATTATAACTAATAATAGTAAATAGGCTTTTTTCTTGTGGTAACAAATTTAAAGTATAGGGCAGTACAGTTATAGTATAGGCCTGCTACTAGATTCTATATTTAAGTATGTGGGCTTTTCATTCCAATGCACCACAATAGATACCACACATGATCAAGCTGGACCTCTGATCTAAAGATTTAATAATTGGGCCTAACAAACAGTGAAACTACAATAAAAATCATGTAAATTACTAATTTAACCTTCTTACCTCCGCTTCTCTAGATTCCTATTCTATTTCCTTCAAACTTTCTTTTTATGCAGCCGTATGATTAGATTCTAGACTATATTCTAATAAACATGAAATAACTACTAACCAGATCACTAGATCTAAATTTCTATCTTCTATGCAATATGTATTAAACCTATAGGCCTAATATTTATTTTAAATTCCTATGCGATGTGTCGTGAACTGTAGGTTTCATGTTATTTTTTTAATGGCGGAAATCAGTTTAAAATTTCGTTTCCTTCCTTTTGTTATTCTATTTATAGATTCAAACTGCTTAGAGTCGGAGCAATTATCATTGAGTTAGTCGGCTGATCCACACAGGAAGTGCGGGTATATCTATTAGTTACTCAGTGATCTGATCATTGACAGGAACAGAGATAGCCATTCGCATGGGGTGCAGAGAGAGAGAGAGAGAGAGAGAGAGAGAGAGAGAGAGAGAGAGAGAACTGTGTGTTTGTGTGGAGATATGTTTGTGTTTATGTATATAATTGTTTGTGTCTGTGTATGTATATTAGTGTTTGTGTGTGTGTCTGTTTATGTGTTTGTATGTCGGTTTATGTGTTTGTTGATGTGTAAATAATCCAGTCTCCTGATAGTTTCCAAACACCAGAAAATATGGGTACTACTGTATCTGATAGCCCTCTTCTATGATGCGGAAATTGACACAATAATAAAAGAACAAAATAGAAACAAATACAGTCCGCGCGGTCGAGTCAGTAAAGCTTATGGAAGATAAACCGAAAAGTCTCGAGTTCGAACCCCGGGCAGATGAGGCTCGTTAGCTGGGGACAGCAACTCTTCTAGGAGAGACAACTCCAAAATCAAACAACTGCTGCCTTGTAGTTTGTTCTTGGTGGGACGAAGGCTATCATTGAGACTGACATTTCTACTAGGGTAAAATAATTTGATTGATTTTGTAATTTATTTTAATTGATAATCTATTTAGGCCTAATTTCATATTCATAATCAAAACACCGAAAATCTGTTCATAATCTTCTTATTTGGATTTTGGCCATTCACCTCTAGCCCGGTCGCGAACTGGCTGGCCAATGTACAAAATCAACAAACGTTATTGCCCGTTCTACTCTAGCCATCTCGCTATACATGTAGGCCTACGTATATATATTTATTTATACAGCTCTAATTTCAATTATATACTGCAAACTGTTTCAGAATTTGGCGGTAACCTCTACACAATAAAGACACAAGAAAAGTTCAACATCTTGAAGACGATCGCCGGTACATTCCGCTTCAACTTCTGGGTAGGTCTGGATGACATGGAGACGGAGGGCGTGTTCAAGTGGGTGGATGATGGCACCACACTTACCTACAACTGGACGAGAACAATCTTTAACGTGTGTATGTAGACTACTCATGAATCTTACACATTTTGACATTGAATGATGTACATTTCCCTCTACAGTGACGAAGTCAGAATTTAAACGGGGGATGTTTATTACTTTAAAAAAAGTATAAATTGTAAAAAAAAATGTGTTCGCATATGACCTAGAGCAGTGGCGTAGCCAGGATCGTTTCATGGGGGTGGGGGTTCAATTTTTTAAAATCGTTATATATATATATATATATATATATATATATATATTTATATATATATATATATATATATATATATATATATATATATATATATATATATATATATATATATATATATATATATATATATATATATATATATATATATATATATATATATATATACATATATATATATATACATACATATATATATATATATATATATATATACTAGTAGACTGTCTTCGATTTGGCGCCCTGGTCTATTCTGTGAGCGCTATGGTGCATAATTTCGTTTTAAACAGTGCGATAGACTAAGGATACGAAAAGCTACTATAGTCCTTATCTGAATCGAATACGGGCGTCGTCCGGAGCACAGAGAGAGTGCCACTGTCGCCCCGGGCCTTCCCGTGAGTGCCAAGGCGTATACTTTCGGTTTAGTGTTTTCTATAGACTATTGAAACGTTTGTGTTTGCTTTTGTGTTTGCGTTTGTGTTTGCGTTTATGTTTGTGTTTGCGTTTTTTGTTCGCTTTGATGTTTGCGTTTGTGTTTGCGTTTGTATTTGTGTTTGTGTTTGCTTTTGTGTTAGCGTTTGAGTTAGAGTTTGAGTTTGTATTTGTGTTTGGGTTTGAGTTTTCGTTTATGTTTGCATTTGTGTTTGCGCTATGTTTGCGTTTGTTTTTTGTGTTTTGGTTTTAGTTGGTTGTGGTTTGGTTGAATTCGAAAAGTAATATAATTCCTAAACCCAGGCTAAGCCCGATATATGCTTTAATAAACTCACAAGCCAATGTCATTTACAGATAGGTTTTTCACAAAGGCCAGGGTAGGGCCTGGCCGGGACGGCTAGTTTATTTATAAATTTAAAGTACACAAAATGTGGTTTAGTTATCACTTGTGTTCTAAGGGGTCGTGTCATCCATAAATGACGTCACGATTTTTTGCCAATTTTTTACACCCTCCTACCTACGTCACACATCGTCACAAAAAGTCAGACACCCCTCTAAAATGACGTCACACTCCACCCCATCCCCCCTCGTTGACACAGCCAGAGCGTTGACAATGAGCGTGCTGGACCCATACGTGGAACCAGCAGGTAAACAATAAAACTTCGAGGCAATGTTAAAGCTGAAAGGATTACATTATTTTAAAATACTTGATGTAAACGTAGATATTTCTCGCAGACATGACGACTCACGTTTGAATAACAATATATTGAGTATAGTATCAGTGTTTCTTCCAGACGTTTTTCCCGGGGGGGGGGGGCGTTAGACTTTTTTCGGGGGGGGGGGGGGGGGGGCGAAGAGATGCCTGGAAGAAACTCTGTATAGTATGCGAATTATTTAACTGTTTTCATGGTATAGTTCATTGTAGTCTATATGATGGACTTAGTGGATGTCATCTCTTACAAAGCAATTGTAATGTTATAGATTTTAATAGTAAAGACTCTCCATCCGCTTTTTTTTCCTCGCACCTACAAAAATCTCGTGCTCTCGACCTTGGAACTGATCGTATGACCAGTTATTTTTAACACG